GTTTTACTTTGAAAGAAATCTTATATTCAGAATAAGATTACTTTATCATTACATTTACTTACATTTCAAATTATAAAAATCAGATCAATTCAGGAGAAAATGACATGAACGATTTGTGGCGGATGTTTATGCATGTTTTCTGTTGAATATCATCGGAGTAAATTGGTCGACACAGTAGCCTCGCTTTCGGCTCTATATAATCAACACAAATTACTGCGCATGTTAAATGCGTGATGACCAAGGGAGATTGAACATAATTCAACTCCCAAAAACTATATACCCCCAAAACTTCGTTTACGGGGGCATATAAGTATATCATTAAAGTAATAACTTTTTCATCATTCAACATTTGTTTTTATTTTCTATTGGTAAAAAAACTCCTAAAATCATTATATGTAAGTACATGTAGAATGGGGAAAACGATACTACATGTGCCAATTTTTGGAAAGACGCGCACTCTTTTTTTGTAGTAAATCATGTTTTATGTTACAACCCCATTTTGTTAAGGTTTTTTGACACTAGCAAACGACAAAAGACATTTTACAGGTTTTGAGCTAACCACATTTTGTTTCCCTTGTATGATAAGTCAGAGGCAATTTAATTTCGTACTTATTTTACAAATTAAATCATCCCTAATTTTTTATTAGAAGTTTGAAACTTCATTCATAGAAAATCAAATATTTTTATAAGATCTAATTTTCTAAGCTAGCGCCCTTGTTCGCGCCAGTTTTAAAAGCAGGGATCAAAAACAACGTTTAACTTTTGAAAAATAATACTTTATTTTGGTTTTTGCAAATTATTTATCCAGGGTAAAATCAAAGAGATTTAAGATTAATTGATTATGGAAAATTTTTCCGACACCAGCTGGTACCTCCGAAAATAACCTTTTTTAAAGTTTAAAATGACAACTGTGAAAACTTACTGTATAAAATGTAATAAAAGTTTCTATGAATGCGCGTATCTTTGCTCTAATATAGCCTTTAGTTAGAACATTTTAATATTGTTTTCCTTTAATGGGGATAAAACAGTTTGTATTATTAATGTAAGGTATTATATAGCTTTGATTTCGTTATCTAGGCTTAAAAGCTTTCAGAAATAACACTTCAAAGCATAAGGCAGGTTGATATTACCCGTATACATTCGCCTAACAAGAATATTCCTATCAAAACGAATGTATTTGCATAAAAAAATGACAAGGGGTCTTTATTCTACGGGGTCATTTTTCTACAATGCACACGGAGAAAAACGACCCCAAGGCCATAATTTCTACAGAAAAGTGGGTCATTTTTCTACGTAGAATATTTTCCAGGGGGTCAAATTTCTACGTAGAAAAATGACCCCCGGTCAATATTCTACGGGGGTCACTTTTCGTCGTTACACCGGCGTAGAGCTACGACTGGGCGTAAGACCTCTGATGAAACGGGCCCCTGACTATCAATCACAGCATTAAAACAACTTTATTTCCGGTGGGAAATCCAAAATGTTTATTCGGAATAAGAATTTCCAAATTACATTTGAACATCACGATTTTTTTTAAATCTGTGTCCTCAGCACTATTTTTAATTGAATTCATCAACTAAACAGGAGATGGTGAATTGTAACTAAAATACTGAAGCAAAAACATTCTTAAACTTGCTAAAACAATGTTAGATATATGTTGATTGATTGCTTTAAATGCAGAAAGAGGGTTGCAAATAAAGTGTTTAATTCATATCCGTTTGGTTAAATAAGGTAATGAAAACACATTGGTTCTATTTAGAATTCTAGGAGGATCCGTTCCAGAACGTCGTGGCATAGGCCTATGCGCGCACTAAAGTCAACTGATATGTTAACTAATTTCTGTTAATGGGAAATAATTGTTGACTAATGGTGACACTGATCGAGTGAAAATGTTGTGCGGATGCGAACTGCATTGCTGTGTGACTGGGTTTGATAAATTGGAGAAAAGCTGCATTTTGTATTAAATAATTATTGAAGATTGTGTATGTAACAGGGACTTATATACTTAGTATATAGGTCCCTGATGTAAATTAGTAAAGATTAACTAAGTAACCGTCCGCGGATTACCCGGGGTGGTCAATTTGTTTATATATATATTTGCTGAATTTGATGGATGATTGATTGATTGATTTGTTGTTGATGCTGAAGTGGGTCTGCCAATGTTGTGTTGATTTGTGCGGCCACCCACACATAATGCCACGACAATACTCACCACATACAAATAAATAAATATTAACTTTTGATGGTGTTGAATTTTCTCTATATAAATAATCTATATTTTAACCAACAAATATTAATTGCGTTCGTATCTTTCACTTATTATTTAAATTTAGAAGATGTTTCATAAGACTTTTTTTTTTTTTTTTAAAAAATATCCGTTTAATTTTTTAATAAAATATTGAAATTAGGATATCATCTGTTTCAAAAAATAAAGAAATTCAAAATTAAAATCTTAAGCATTTGATTATTAAAAAAAAAAATAGTGAACCGTACTTTGGCTCAAGGTCATTAACATCTATTATAATACTTGATAGAGAAATTCACGAATGTCGTTTGTCAATTTCCATAAGCTACTACAGTATAACCAAAAGGAAAGCATTATGAGTTTTTTGTCCGATTTGAAGGTCCAATCATTTGTTATAAAAACTTGATATTATGAAATATTATCATTGTGTCATATGTTTTATTTGCTGTTAGATATTTCATGGATATATTATAGTATTCATCAAAGGATTTTTCACACAGGGATCCGTCGTAATAAAAAAACATTGGACCATTGCTGCTTTTATTTATATTAACTTTTAATTTAAGTGTTTGGTTTTTTTTATAATTTCAAACCGAGAGAATATAGCATGTCTACTGGACATTAAAAAACCTTTAGAGATTTTTCGGAAGTCCAGTATTTTTATTCAAATTGTCCAATGTCAAGTTTACTTTATTATATATTACATTTTTAATCTTCTTGTTAATTACATGAGTGTATTGTTTTCCTTTCAGTTTCATCTCTAATTAGAATATTATTTTGTTTATACACAAAGCGTAAACATTTTTTTTTACCTACATGCAAACACACCTGTTTAAATCAAACGTGTCACCAGACCAACTAGACCGATTTTACCCTATTTTTGGACTTTCAGTAGGGCGTGACTTTCTCGACGCTACTTGTTACCGGCTGACGTTCATTCTCATTAGTTGGCAGACAATCTCATCAATATTCATAGCATTGCCTACGTCGAATAAAAATAACACCACAAACTAGGTTGAAAATTGTATTATTTCATGTAGTAACAAAAAGAAAAAGCAAAATTGAGCATCAATACTATCCATGTGTTATCAGACACCATATAGTTTTGTACTTCAATAAAAAAAAATCGCCTCCCGGAAAGCCAATCAAAAAGACGCTATCAACGCCGCGGAGACAAAATTACAGTGCCATGCATCAATTTTAGCACAACTTCGACCCGGTTAATTTTTAGAATAAACTTTTCAGATTGACATAACACGCACATCATACGAAAGATCAAACAATGTAGAATAAATTCATTATATTTAATTTTTAGATAAATGTGAATAATAATGCAAAAATTAGGTTGTGTAAATGGCACGATTACATAGTCGGGTTACCTGAAACCCCTAACATTTGTCATTGGTCACTGAGGACAAAAAGAGACTGTAAATTGAAAACAGGAATACTAGTAATCTGGGACCACCCTTTCAATAAAATCAAATGATACCCCCCCCCCCCCCCATTGAGTCAGAAAGTTGTAAGCTTTTTTTTTCATTTAAATAAAGTAGATGAAACATACCCGGCGGAGTAAAGAGTTCTTCGTTAATTACATGAACGTATTACTTTTCGTGCTTTTCTGTGCGGATTGGAAAAGACACATGATTATATAAATGGTGTGTGTTTACAACACGATTACACAATGCACTAAACGTTTATAAAGAAAAAGAGAATAAATTTGTATTATTTTATAATGCAATTTGTACATAGGACTTTTCTTCAGGATCCAAGAAATATATCATTACTCAGTATTATTTTTCTTAATGTCACAATCATTCTCGATATCCATGGGTTTTGTTTCCATTCTATTTCCACAAACGAAATATAATTGACATAAAAACGATGCTACATGTACTTAGTATTTCAAAGAGGTCAACCAACACTGTGCATTTCCTCACATTTTACATAATGACTTTAACATCTTTACGGTAGAAATATTGCGTTAAAATTTGTATCTGAGTTAACAAAAGCGGCTACCGTCGTAAAAGCAGCGATTTGCAATAAAACAGGGGCTTCCTGTAATTTCATGTAAAGACATACTGGAAGATCATGGAAATTGAGTAAATTTAAAATGGTTACATGTATGTTGAAAACATCAGACACTAAAGTGATTGAACCTGATTGAAAATCGTTATTTCTAGTCAAATATCTCCTCAAACCCACCCCTGGGTTTCTCGACACAGAAATCATTTAGCTCTTTTGAAAAGTTTCTTATAGTACTATAACTGCATTGATTGACCGTGTGAAATGATATCAATCACATTTTCACTATGATTAAAATCGATCAAATTACATAAGATCGACTGACATTATTCTGAACAGAAATTTACAATTGCATTTCTCTCTGAAGAAATATACATCAAAAACTAGCGCATAGAGTGTAAAAAAAAACAGGAAGCTCGTAGGTGGGGCAAATCATCAGCTACATGTACATCGCTGATGCAATCAATGAGAATCAACGTCACCATTTGAAAGCTGGTAAACAAGTAGCGTTGAAAAAGTCACGCCCTACTGAAAGTCCAAAGATAGGGTAAAATTGGTCTGAACACATTAAATGATATATTACTGTTTTCACACAGCGTGACAATTTATACGTCATAAAGATAACCAGGGGTTTTCCATAGGTCTATTTTTGCTATTTTCCCAACTGAACGCGTGCAAAATAATGCTATATAAATATAATTTAAATTTATTTTGTTTAGTCTTAATCAGAAGAATGGGAATATATAAAGGATTTGTTGCGTGTGGAGTTTTTCTCGTGTGCCTTGTTTCGTCACAAAAATTAAAAACACCTGAGGTAAGAAAGTTTTCAGTCATAATCTCTTTGAAGGAGCAAAAATCTTAATAAAAATCCTCAATCTGATTTTCATCAGATTGAAAAATCCTTCAAATTTACTTAAAAATTATGACTTAATGTTCTTTTTGAATTACTTTTAAGACTGCTTTTTTTAAACAATAGGAAATAAAAATGGAAAAAATGTTTACTTAAAAAAAAAACGCTGAAATACTGGAATTTAAAGACTGAAAAGAAATTTTAGAGGGATTTAAATTTACACTTTCTAAATTGAAATTTTATGCTAAGAAGCCTATTTTTTAATTTATCGAAATAATTTTACAGTTTATCACTTTACAATAAAGATTAATGATTAATATCATTAACCGAGATTCTTGATAATCTATTTTGTTTTTTTTCAAAAATAATGCTCAAAAATATACAATCTGCTAAAAGTTTCCATAAAAAAACTTGATTTAACATTGTTTTTTTAAAGATGAATGGTAAATATTTCCCTTGTTTTACCCTCCCTCTGCTAAATCTTCAAAATAATGAGCTAACCTCGACTTTCATTGGTAAGGACGGAAACATTCCGCACACGAAGAATTACTGTCCCCATTGCGGGACGTGGAGGCCAACACTTCATATAATTACGTTAAACATACAAACAAAAACATATAACCATCAAATTGATGCATACAATTTCATTCAGGTATATTACCTTCATGTCACATCGGAAATTGACTTCCGGTTTGCCGAAACTGTAGTAACCAGTAAAGTTGTCAATAAGGAACCGGTTGCGAGGGAAGCCGTGTTCGATTTTACTCTTCCAAATGAGGCTTTCATAACAGCATTTAAATTGTAAGTAAAAACAAATTACAGAAAACATCTAGCATTGGTTTTGGTTTATTTTCATATATGGTATTAGTCATGAAACATGTTTTGAAGGACAATAAATGGCAAAGAAATTAATGGCAAAGTGAAAGAAAAGGAACAAGCCAAACAGGAATTTGAGGCTGCCAAAGCAAAAGGACAGAGTGCAGGTCATATTGTAGCCAAGTGAGTACAATTCATTCTATACCTTTAAAAACCTGATTGAGCTCAACTTTTCTCTGTTATGAGCAGACAATTGCAACCCATAAGAGGTCAAAATGATAAATCGCAAACTTTTTAATAAGTTCATCACCAAAACAATTTTTTACAGACCTAGGGAAACAAACAAGTTTCAAATCCAAGTCAATGTAGCAGCCCAAGAAAAAGTGACATTCGAGTTAACATACCGGGAACTTCTCAGACGAACTAAAGGCTTATACAACCATGTTATTTACATCAATCCTGGACAAGTGGTAGACGACTTAAAAATCAACGTCTTAATCAAGGAATCAAGAAATATTACTACCATCAAAACCCCGCCAATAAGAAATGACCTTCTTACGGAAGGTCCTGAAGGTATTAAAAATATCTAAATAAACATAGCAAAGGAATCAAGAACTGAACATATTCAAATTTGAAATTTTAAGTTAGAATTTGAATCTACAGAGATAGAAATCGTGGACTTTAGATTGTAAAAGATATGTGATACTGTAAAGGATAATATTTCTGTTTTAGTATTTCTTTATCCTAGACAAAACTACAAAATAGTAAAAGTACGTACTTTATTTTTACAAAAATCTACTGGTTCATCGCTATAAAAAATCACATATGGGGCGGGACAAATAAAGACAGAAGTAGGGGTTGTAGAACGTGAATTTGCAGAATCAAGAGCTTGCAAATATAAGAAATAACTCAGGTTTTTTTTTTGTTTCATGATGATGATCAATCGATTGGCTTGCGTGATAATTTTAACCCCTTCCATGACAAAGATTTTAAGCATTTCTAGACAAACTGATATTAAGATTTCAATGCATTTTTTCGGGTATTTCTTGTAATTTTTGTATAATACCGATGTATGTATATTCTGAAAGCAGGTATTTTGTAGTTTCTAAAAATTATTATAAAAAATATCATTTCAGTTGCCATGGCAACGAAATAAACTAATCATGCTTGAATTTCCATTTATTTAATAATGAGTTTCATTCTAGTTTTTTTTTCCTACTTAAATATATTTAAAAATATTTAATTTTTGTGTCGCAAATTATGAGCATGTTGTACATTTTTTTTACAAACCAATTTTAATAATTTTTTTTTTTTTGCGGGATGGTGTGATGATGGGAGGTAATCACCAGAATTTAGCATTTTTGCGTATAACGTTTTACCCCCGGATTGATTTCGATAATGTAAAAATCGCTAAAATAGTATGCAAAGTTTAACTCAAGCAAGCAAAAAATCGGTACAACCAATTAAAAAAACTCTGTATGTTATTTTATCGTTATTATTTTCTCTTTCCAACGGTACAAGATTTATTCTGATATTTGCAGTATTAAGAAGGAAATGAATGTTTTTTTCACACGTTACTCGTTTTTCAAGTCAGAAGCGTAGAAATGCGTATATGCCATGTAAGGGGTTAATCTTTAGCGCCTTCGGTGCTTATGCAAATTATCACGCAAGCCAATGGATTGATCATATTATGAAACTAAAAAGAGTTATCCTCAAATAAAGTGTAATCATATTCTTCTATTTTGAAGGAACCAACCAGCTTGCCGTGGTTAACCGTATATCTCCAACAAAAGCCTTTATTTCGTACGAGCCGTCCAGAGCAGAACAAGAGTCCGGGATCTCTGGTCAGTTTATTGTTCAGTACGATGTGGACAGAAGTGACAATGCAGGGGATATTCTGGTAAATCTTACAATTCTTATGAAAACTTTTTTTTTCTTCTTATATCAAAAGTATTAGAAAAGTATGCAAGTCAGTAAAAAGAATTGAAAAAGAAAAAGAAATGAACATGCATCTGTTACTGATGAATTGATAAGAAAACTTAACAATTATATTGCTTTACATAGAGTATAAGTCTAAACATTAAAAAAAAGCATATTTTTTATTAAAACAATTATACATCTTCAGGTAATGGATGGTTATTTTGTGCATTTCCTGGCACCCGAAGGAATCGAACCGATGCCAATGGATATTGTGTTTGTACTGGATAAAAGTGGTTCAATGAGTGGAAAGAAAATAGAACAGCTTCAGGAATCCATGTATAAGATCATAGACGATATAAAGTCGGAAGATAAAATAATGATCATCGCATTTGACTCCTCGCTGTCTTATTGGAAACCTGAATTTGTACAGGCAACATATTCAAACAAAAACGCAGCCAAAGACTACATAAGACAAACTACTGCGAGAGGAGGTACACTTTCTTAATTATTATTTAAGAAATGATTAAAATTTTGAAGATTCATGAGGTTATGAACTACGACGCATCAAGCCGGCATACTAGTTTTTATTATATGATAAATATGCCGGCGTGAAGCGTTGTAGTTCAATTATACCTCATGAAAAAACAATCATTTTTTTATACTTTGATTTCCTGATGAGTTGCCACAAAGTTTATGACATTCAATTGTCATTTTTAAAGCAAAACAATTTGGAATTTAGTTTTGAAGTCAAGTGCGGTATTATGACGTAACATTCATGCTCATCCGTGGCAGTTCATTAGAAAATGAACAGTTTCCTGTTTGCAAAGAATTTCAAGGAAAATTATTTAGAAATGTAAATATATATGATTGGTTGCTTTGCTATTTTGGCTGATTAAAGGATGTACAACACACCTACCCCAAAAAAATCCTGTCGTTTAATTTTCGTTTTTTTTTTTTGTATGTTTAGTACATGACTGTATCTACTGCATGTATGCACATTTTGGACAAAATCGTTCGAGTGGTTTTTGGACAGGAACTTCCGAAAGTTACCCCCCTTTAGTTGTTTACGAGGAGAGAAAATTTTTAATCAATGAACTACTTAAACCTTGATTTTCAAATAAGCCAGGTTAGATGTAAATGTCAAATTTCATTGACTTATTCCTTTAACCATTAAACACAAAAATATAGTAATCGTTTTGATATACATATCATCAAAACAATTTTCAAAGACCTTAAACTGAAAAAATATGAATTATCAAAGCCTTGAAAATTGTGTATTTTTCAAATTCAAATTTTTTTTGTGAAGAAACCTGTCGTTTGATTATGGTAAAAAACTTTCTTTAGATAGCTGGTAGTAAAAAATTATCTTCATAATTTTTTGTATAATTTTTGTACGACCAGATTTGATTTAATAGCGGGAAAATTACCCCCTCCCCCTTTCTCAATAAATCACGTTCCCGCGCGTCTTTCAGATGGGGGTCGATCACTTTGCTATGAATCTACAAATACACATTTAAAAAAAAAACAAATTTGAATATTGCTTTTACTTAAAAAATATGTTAACTTACAAATTTAAAAGTTCTCATATGTAAAGCATATTTAAATGTAGATTTTTAGGCAATTTTTGAATACACCTACCACCCCCAACCCTTCCTTTTTTGCGTCGCAGACCATTAGCGTTCGACGAAACGTCGTTTACAGTGCAAATATACTAGTATTTCGTCATTTGAATCCCGGAGGTATGCATTAGTTTTTAAATTCATGAATGCAGAATAAATATTGACTACTGTTTTCATATGTATCAGGAAAAAAAATTACTGAAGGATTTTAGTGTTATGCGTTATGCATTCCATATTATCACATGAAACCTGGATACGAATTCAAGTTATGTTGAACTTGATTGATTCTTAATTTGATTTCTTTAATTTTATTTATAAAAAAAAAATTATGTATGTTTAACTCTCCAGTGATGTAAATGGAATAATTGTAGTTTCTTTCTTGTAATTATTTCAAACGAGACAGCATCACTATGTGGCGGTGGGGATACATCGACATTTGCATAGATGTACACCCCTCATGATATTGTACGCATTCTCTCAATGTCGTTGCTTCTAAAGTTAAAATGAAAATTCCGTATTCGTCCATATTAACTTCAAAGTATCAAACATTAAACTCTTCATCTATTTCAATTTATATCAAATCGCATATTGATATTTTTGAAAATCTTATAGGCTACGTTTTGTTTTGATTCGAGGAAATGCGAACCGACATTGTTGACAGTGACAGAAAGTCAAACGATTTGCTGCAATAGGATATTCATAAATGCAGACAATTACAGTACTAGTGAACAATTCTTTTCAATTCTATACTTACATTGTCTATATGAGGTCTATAGTGTTCAATTCTCGGATTTATCAAGTCTTGCTGTAAATGTATCTGATTCTGTGGAAAACCATGAATAAAGGGAGGAAAATAAACATCTCCTACATTTTCAGAGTTGTTCCTCTTTGATCAGTAAGGGTCTGAGAACAACATCGATTTTATATTGTTAAAAATTTTTTGTTTGTTTATTGTAAAGAAGAAAACAATCATATTTATATCGTAAATGCACAAATTGTAATGAAGACCATTAATCGGAATGTTATATAGCCAGTGGTACATAGTGAGAATTTCGGCAATGTAAAATAAAATTTTCAGAATAAAAAAAATACTGCGCTTTGATCAAGAATAGAATTTATTGTATATGAAATGAAATGAAATAAACATTAGGGGATGGTATTTTATGTCTTGCTTTTTACGGAGTTTAATCGGATTAATTGCAAAAAATACTTATTGATTCAGCATGGTACACATAATCACAGCCAAGCCCCATATCCCATTTTTCTTTTAAGATTGATATACATCGGGATCGTTTTACTCGTCATTTTGACGCTTTATTTTTGACGTTAAATTTGACGTCACGTCAAACGTTCAGTTGAAATCGCAAGAGCTATTTCCCCAAGTGTGTTGTACGTCTTTCAATTCACTATATATTTTCGAGATTATCTCTAAGAAGCTGCTTACATTCAAAAGCAAAGGGGTTTATATGCATTAAGCAAATCAAAACATAAAACATAAATAACAACGGCTGTACTTCACGAAAAATAATATTTCAATGAATAATTTTTTTCAGCTTATTCATCGTATTTGCCAAAATTCAGAACAAATTCATATATATTATATTTATTATCATACTTGTTTTTCTAATATAGTATATATTATCAATAAGCACAAAACACGTGAATTTTAATTCGAATTTAATTCAAGAAAAATTCTGCATATGCAAAATATAGTATGTATTACATTAACATATTGAAAATTGAGATTTTTTAAGAACAAATATTCCAAAAAGAATTACCTGCTCTTCAATGGGAAAAATTAATAATATTTTTAACTTTCAGGGACAAATATAGATCTATCTTTAAGAGAAGGTCTTCAGAAGCTAACGCAAATAAATGGAACCAAAGAAAGGGCACCTCTCATGGTTTTCCTAACCGATGGACAAGCCACTTCCGGAGAAACTAGAACTGAAAGAATACTAGAAAACGTGAAGAAACAAAACGAAGCCCAACTGCCTATTTTCAGTCTTGCCTTTGGAAGAGGCGCTGATTTTGATATAGTCAAAAGACTTGCAGCACAGAATAACGGGTTTGCAAGAAAAATCTACGAAGATGCAGATGCAGCTCTTCAGATAGCTGGATTTTACGAAGAAATTTCAACCGTTTTACTAAAGAATGTTTCATTAAACTATGTTGATGGAACACTATATGACACTACAGTTACCGAGACCAACTTCAACACTTACTTCAGAGGTACCGAAATGGTTGTTGCAGGAAAAGTAAAAGATCTGAACAAGCTACAATCAGGCATGACAGTAAATGGAGAAGGAAGTAGAAACAGCGTGTCTCTTCGCATACCTGCCAATCACGGAATCATTATCCCATGGCCACGCTCTCCTTTTCCTCCGCATCCACCCAGACCATTTTCCACTCCTTTACCCCCCGTCACCACAAGAAATCCCGGAATAATGGAAAAACTCTGGGCGTATTTGTATATCAAACAACTGCTGAGAGATAAAGATGCACTTGATTCACCGGCAGAGATCAAAAAGTTGGAAGACAAAATTCTCCAGCTTTCCCTAAAGGTACGAATTAATAATTTTATTTATTGCTTTGATCACAAATTCTTTAAAAGTAAAGACAAATGCAATCTCTGGTGAATTTGATTATGAAATACATATAATGATCACGAAAAATGATGAATTTCTTGATATTACAGTATCAGTTTGTAACGCCACTAACTTCGATGGTGGTGACTCTGCCCGATAAAACCAAAGCAAATACAAGTGAGGTGAAGGCAGCAGAATCCAGTCTGACTGAATCTTTTTCTTCTAGCATGTCTTTAAACAGAGGTTGGGTTTTTTCTTTATACATGAACGAAATAATTCATTACGTGTCACAAGAAATCTTGAATTGTTAGTTCTAATTTAAATATATTATTTAATATTATGGTGAAAATACATGCAGGTGCATGTGTATATAAATTTTGTTTCCATGAATGAAAGATACAGAAATAACAAACAGTATTCAATATCAAACTCCATAAAAGAATACAAAATAGGAGCAGAGCAAATACGGACCCCCAAAACATCACAGGTGGGATCAGGTTCCATGGAGGAGTGAGCATCCCCTGCTGACCGATCACACCCGCTGTGTACTCCTTGTCATGATCGGGAAATAACGGAAAACTCCGTCTTCAATTCAGTGTATAAATAATGGACTAACAATTAGTACGAAAAACGTCAGTCAGCATTTGACTCAATAATAAATTGTATTTGCTGACAAGGTCATTTGTATTTAATGTATTGAATGTAATTGAATAAATGTAGAAGAAAAAACTTCAAGAAAGGAAGAACAATCGCTTTTCTTAAAACATCATAATACGATTTATTAGAATTATTACCTAATTGTTGACAACAAAATATCCCTAACATAAAATAATTTAATTAACTATAATTACTTTACTGAAGTAAATCAAAGTATTTTTTCTAGGAAGAAAATATAGTATTGATATAGAATATTATGAATAAATCTCTTTGCATTATAGGAGCACCTGCACCACGACTAATGCCTTCAGGTTAGTTTACCTTTTTTTCTTTATGGTACACGATACAAAAATTCAAATCAAGCTATTTATTTGCATAAACGTGATTGAATCATTTTTACTTGTAATGACATATTTTTTCTCCAAATCCCATTTTACCACATTTATTGTATTATAGGTGGTGCCAATGCAATGATGCTTCCTCAATCTTTATCCTCATCTAATCTTCAACAAAGTAAGTCTTAGCATAATTTTAAAACATGAATATTCTTTCATTGCTATTTCGTTCTAGGCAGAAACTAGTCGTATAACTGACATATACATGTATATTTTGAACAGGTTTCTGATCATTGGTAGTAAAAGCGACAATCCCGCGAGAAGATACACCTATTATTTTTTTTTTACAATTGTTTTTTTTAAGAATGGCGTTAAAATAAAAAAAAAGCTTTCTTACAGCTTGTATATAAAGGATGACTGCACGTAACGCCGGTTTTTGGGTCTTTTTCAATCTCTGTTGTCACATTTATTTTTGTTTTTATTTTTGCCTTAAGTCATTTGATATAGAGTTTGGTCTATTTTCAAATGAAATGCAATGTCAAATTGGTTATAAACTGCTTTGCAATAAAATAATTTGTTGTTTTCTTACGCAACCTCTCTGCAAATATCGGGAAATTAGACTTATCTGCCGTTGATTGAAGATAAGATTTATAAATATGCATAAGAGGTGGAGCTAATATTGTAATGAGTGGTCTAAAATTAGAATAGTTACTGTATTTATATTTAGTGCATTTCTCTCTCTCTCTCTCTCTCTCTCTCGTCATATGTTTGTCTATTATTTTTTAAGTTTTCAAATAAAGTATATCACTAATAACAAATAACATCGACCGGTAGAAGTAGCCATCGATAATCAACAGCAATGGCTGATGTCAACAATTCGCGTGTTCGAATATAAGTACCACGTAGCTCAGTCGGTAATGCACAGAATCAATAATATTGAGATCTGGGATCGAGACCCGCTAACAACAGTAAGACGTACTTTGTTTTTTCCTTTTTATAAAAAAGAAAGAAAAACATCACAATTACTTAAATTTTTTTTAGTTTCTTTTATAATTACTTTCCCATAAATTAGCGTGCTGAGAATGGTATGATTTCATTTTTATTTACTGGATTTTATTTTGGATGTTCATGTTAAGCAATGGTTCAAAACATAATAAATAAATCTCTTTTTTCTTGTAGACTACGAACATGTAGAGACGTATAATACACTCAAAAATATATAAATATAATAAAATGAAACGCTTTTGAGATAAATATAAGAATAAACTTATAGATATCTAAGAGAAAAAAGAATAGCCCGTGGCTCGATGGGAATGGATTGAAACAGATATGGACAATCACTATCGCCCGGCAGAATGCGTGTTTCTTTACACGTCACGTTATGGAATTTTAGTATTCACAGAGTTACCTGGGTATAGAAATCACATGGTTAATTATAATATTCAACAGGTAACAACATGGTCAAAATGGCCTGTTTACTATAGAGAAAGTGAACACACGAAGAAACAGTTTTTTCTCTTTTTTAACCATGAGCGCATGTTTGTTTGTCTATTGATCTCCTTTAAATATGAGGTAATATATATAAATATACAACTACCATAAAAAGGACACCAATAGACAAACATGCGCTGACCATGTATTAACCCTATAAACAGGTGGGCGTACTCATCCTAAGGAGATTCCAGAATATGCTATGACTCCTCCCTATAAAAACAACTTCGAACTTCGTTAATACGAACTTTTAATTAACGTAATTACATAAAGTTGCAGTTAAGACATTGGCAATTTCTACCATTAAAAGAGAAATGCCCATTTTTAAAATTAATTATGTCGCAATTTCTAAGTTTCCTTAAGTGCAGTCGTCCTTTGTTTTAGGAGCATAGAGACCATTTAATCGATTTGCAAAGAAAAGGATAAGCTCAAGAAGGGGTGGAGGTAATACTATACAAGAGATCTTTTCCCGAAAACTGTATTAAGGTTATCATGCAACTTAGATGAATTCTCTTGTATTGTGTTCATTTAGAATTTGAAAGTTGTCGTTATTGAAAAAAAGTTATTTCCCAGCAGGCACGCAACGTTGTTTCAACGTTGAAAGGAGGTGGAATATAGGTTGCAACGTTGATCAACTATATTTCAACGTTGTTTCAACGTTGAGGTTTCAACGTTGAATCCTCAACCTTTTTTCAACGTTGAAACAACGTTGAAGCTGCAACATATTTTCAACGTTGAATGTTCGTCGATATTTCAACGTTGAAACAACGTTGAGGCTGCAACATATTTTCAACGTTGAATGTTCGTCGATATTTCAACGTTGAAACAACGTTGAAGCTGCAACATATTTTCAACGTTGAATGTTCGTCGATATTTCAACCATGAAACAACGTTGAGGCTGCAAGATATTTTCAACGTTGAATGTTCGTCGATATTTCAACGTTGAAACAACGTTGAAGATTCAACATGTTTTCAACGTTGAGTATTTTCTGATATTGTAGAGTTAAAACAAGGTTTAAAAATGCAAAGTTGACTGACTTGATTTCAACGTTGAAACAACGTGCAAGATGCAACATATTTTCAACTTTAGGAAAGTTAGGAAAATTAGCGTTGAAACAATTAAGGGGTAACGAATATTGAGCACTTTAGTTTTTAAGTTCAAAATATAAAGGTGTCTAATTTAACTCTAATCCATGTGATTTTTCGCAATATACACAAAGCTGTATGCATTGTTAGAAAATTTTATATATATAATACCGTATATCCGGTTTTTTTCGCGGTGATCTATTTTTCGCATTTTTTGCGATCATTTTTAATTCGCAAAATATAAAACACGCTGAAATTATGTCAGTTATAATGTTACATAAGAACATTACCATTTTGAACAAAATAATCTTCAATCGTAAAAAATAACTTACGCTAAATATAAACTGTACTAATCTACCTCTTTTTCGCAAAATTTCCAACACGCGAAAAAAACTGGATATACGGTAATTATACTTAATAAATGAAACGCATGCATTGTAAATTGATTTACTCAAAAGAGTTGTGCCAATAGCTAGTGCCACTATAAAATTTTAAATATGAATTTATATGAAGCATGGCATATACATTTAACACTTCATTATAATTATGTTTCAAAAAAGGTGTTTTTTTTTTCAATAAATTGTGAATGCTATTTTTTTTTTTTTTGGACATATATTTATAAAATATGTCAAATATAAGCTTTTAATAAATAATGTAACATCTTTATCCAACATCTCACTGTAATTCCATGTTACTATAGAATTAATAAAAATAATTATTCAGAATTAATGTTCTTAAAGTAAGACTCATATGGATCCGTGCCGTATACTCTTGCACAGATTATACGTATACAGAGCGAATCTAAGAAGTCTTAAAGCTTATTTTATTAGATTGTGTTTTCTGTGTGTATTAATTCTATAATCTTTCTTTTCACAAAATATAAAAAAAAATTCAAATAAACACATAAGAATTTTCACACTGACAATTAACCCCGGTAAAGTTGCATTACTTAAGATCCACTCCCCAAAAACCTTCGAGATATCAGATAAGGAGTGCCTCTCGCTTAGTTGGTCAGTTTCAGTGTCAGGATAACCTTGTTATGCAATTTTCTTGCTGGGCAGAGTATAGCTGTTTGCAGCTTATCTAGGTCAAAATTTGAATTCAACTGATGGACAAGAAGTGCGCGTTTCTTTCCTGTTCATATTTCATGTGTTTTTGAAGCTATATACACAAGGATTTAGGCTGGAATATCAACTTCTGCTCAGTAAGTATTATTTCCTTTTCATGAATTTACGAAATTCAGTTTTTTAGTATCTGTTCATCATTTAAGTCTTGTTTTATAAGTATATTTGAAATCTGCGTGAAATGCACATCCTTGGTTCGTGTTATGTGTTTTGTTGATATTCATTTGGTTATAAAATATAAGCTAGTATACTAATATATTATACAATTTAAACTAATTGTAGTTCGCCGTAAGGTTCAATCAACCAGTTATGCAGGGAATTGATTGTATAGTCAGCCTTGATTGCATCAGATTCTTCTCCTGTTAAAATTATACAAAGGAATGCAACATTTTGTAAGTACACTATGTATATGTATGTCTATAACATTTTTCTTTAGTAATAATTATTTATAAGCATACTCATACGAATTTTAACATAAAGTCAACATTAATTCTTTTAATCATGTTAATTAAATCCAAGTACTGGAATATATTCCTTTGTCTGATTTTTTAAATCATTCATGTATATTTATTTTTATCATTTGATATAACGTGTTACATGTGTACGTACATTTTATCGAACAAATGGCTTTAACACCTTTATTTCTTTTATCAATAGGCTTTTGCTTTAGAGGGTGGATTCTCCTGTTCATTTCTTTCATTCGTGGGACTTAACTCTATGCGTGATTAAAATCAATGGATCCGCCACTTTGTGGAACTTAGAAGTGTAAGGCATACGCGTACTTCGAAGGACCTGGATGTGATTATTGTGACCCACTTTTCCCAAGGAATATAAATTTTGTCAAGCAGTGATTTTTGAGATTCAGTGATTGAATCCGAATTTGTGTTTGTCTTAAAAATACATGTAAAATTAATTCTCTCACAATCATAATACTTGATTACAACTTATATAAATATTACGCAACTTGAATAAAATTTTTTATTAGAATTTGAAATGTATTTGTTTATAAAGCAAAATGTAATATGAATTCAACGTGATTTCAACCAAATATCAACGTTTGTACATCCGAAAAATTTCAACCAAATCTCAACCTAATTTCAACCAATGTTCACTTTTGTTCAATGTTGATATTTGACGTTGAAACAACGTTGAAGCTTCAACGTTGCCTCAACTTTCATTTGCAACCAAAAATCAACCATAAATCAACCAAAAATTCAACCCATTTTCAACGTTTATTCAACGTTGAAAATTGACGTTGAAACAACGTTATGTCTCAACGTTGCCTCAACTTTCATATGCAACCAAAATTCAACGTTGATTCAACGTTGAAGTGCAACGTTGAATCAACGTTGAATCAACGTTGAAATGCCTGCTGGGTTATAATACATTGTTTACATTGAATTGCTTTAGAATTTGATAAGTGGTATTTCCCCCACATTAAAGATTATTTAACTATGCATAACTGAATGATGTAACCGTAATTGAGTGAAGAGTTCCTAATGGTAAAGTGAGAGTTTCCTTAATAAAAGTAGTACAATTAAAAAAAAAATCAAAAATAAAAAATACTTAGGAGTGATCTTTTTTTCTTATTTTACCTCATTTTTTGTATTATAGGAGGTGGTAATGTAATGATGGTTCATCGATTTTTATCCATTGAAAGAGGTATGTCCTAGCATAATTTTTAAAGCTTGTAATATTCTTAATTTTTTTCGTTCTAGGCAGAAACTAAACATATAACTGATATATATATTTCGAACAAGTTTACGACCAATGGTTGTATAAGCAACAATCCCAGGAGAAGATACAACTTTTTAAAAAAAAAAGAAGTATTTAACAATGACTTCATAATATAAAGAAGGAAGCTTTTTTGCAATACATATTTCATTTTTTTTACCCTCTTAAACTGCTCTATGAATCAAAATGTGTTCTTTTTTGTGTATTACGTATCCAAGGGCTGAATTCGAGTGGAAAGTTTAGAGAATTTGTATAACGAGATTTTTCCAATGTCAATTTTAACTTTTGATCCCCCATCATAATGAGCTAAATAAAACTGTTCCTATTATTTTATCTATAGGACTATCACCAGGAATATCTAGTCGATTCAATATGGCATCAAGTAAGTTTTCTTTTTCTTTAACATCTGGTAAACAAAATTCAAATCAAGCTTTTTATTTGCATGAATGTGTTTGAATCACCTTTACTTTCAACGACGTGCAATTTAATAAAAAAAAAATAAAAGCAGAATAAAATCAAGAAGGGATGGGCGCAAGGATCCCCCTGAAACTAAATAAAAGTTATAACCTAAATTCCAACTTTGATACAAGAGGCCAATAGGCCTTATGGGTCAACTGCATATCATGTAACAACTTTCCAACAATTGAATTTAGTTCGTGTTTTAAACCAAAAGCCATGAAATTCACAATTTTAAAAGAGGCATTATTATTTATCATAACTATACACTTAGCATTCTTACTTTGCTTACTTAATACCTACAGGTAGATCAGAGTAACGAAGGGAAAATGCATTTCCACTTTATAATCACCAGTTGTGCACCCCAACCCACAGGAACCACTGACCCTGGGGCCATATATTTCATTTCATCATAAATGGTTGAGTAAAACCAAAGAGCAAATTTCAAAGCATCACTTTATTTTCAGATAATGTGACCCCCCTCCCCCCGCGCTGTACCCCTAACCCAGGGGCCCTGAAATGAACCATTTTAGAAGAGGCACCTTTCTTCATCATAAATATGAATAGATCATTGGCATATTACCCAGGAGCAAAGGAAAAGACTTTCCACAGAATTAATTTATTTTCACAATATGATTATTAGAGCCCCGCCCTAATACCAGAACCCCTGACCCTGGGGCAATTTTATTTTAAGCATGATCAGTAATTGGAGATGATATCTAGCTATTTTATTGCATGAAATAATGAGTTTAAAGACATGTAATTCAAAAATAAAAAGCAGAATGCAAAAAATAAATAAATAAATAAAATCAAGAAAGATGAGTGTAGTTTGAATCGAAACAAGGATTTTCTTCACAAATAAAACTATATCAAAGGTTTCAACCGAAACAAAATTCATTGTATTATATTTTTAAAGATAATCTGCTCATTATAGAAAACCATGCAAACATGTAAATATTATGTAATACTATGTCTTTAATGAATTTGACTGGTATTCGAAAAGCAGTTTTACCTGCATGAAATATTGATTTCTTGAGTGAATGTGTTATATAAACATTGCCTCCAAATATATTCCCATCAAGGAGAGGAAATACATGTATATTGTTTTACCCTTGTATTTCTGATTACATGTATGTCTTCGTGTTTGTCTATGTTTTCTCAGCAATTAGTCAGTGCAGATGCTTGGGATTTTATCACAATTTTTTTTGAGACATACCATATGGTTAGAATAATTTCTGTACGAATTCAATGTAACATGTATCATCTTATTTATCGATGTGCTTGTAAGTATCAAATTCCAACACAGTTTCCATGCATTTACTCACTGCAGACACTTGAAATTTTAACATATATTTAGTTTAAACATGCCATATGGTGAGATTAATTTTTGTATAAATCCGATATAAACTTCCTATTTACCACACCCTATTACCGGCAACTGTGACAACCGATGCAACTGTGACAACAGACGGCAAAGTTATCAATCGCTATGACAGAGACCTAATTGATATCATAATTTTGACTATTTATAACATTCATTTACTTTCGTTTGGTAGTTTCCCGTGTTGATCTAACCTTAAATTATTTTTCTGTTAAATATAAATCTATGATTCCTTATTAAAACAAAATAAGAACAGAATAAAGTTAAATTTCAATCGTTGTTCAGGAAAAATTGGTCAAATTGAGCTTATATAATAAAAATTGCTATTCTACGGTCACATTTCTTGTTGTATATAATAAATTCAGACTCTTTACGACATAAATTCAAAATATGGATAATTTTTGTTGTTTAATAAAAGCTCCGCAAGCGTTTAATTTTGTTTGGTGAAATCATTTTGGCTATCAGGTACAACAGACGAGGCAAACAATGACAGCAGATTTAAAACGAAATACGGCAATCGGAAACAGTGGATACAAAGTTTGATCAAGGTACAAATTAGCTGTATCCTGATACTAGTAGGCTTCAAATTAAGTCAAGACATATTTTGGCTGTCAATATTGGTCAAATGTATGGTACTTGGTATCAAAGAAATTTATGGACATGCCCCTCGGACGGGGGGGGGGGGGTATTCTTCTCCGTGCATGGTTGCCATTCGGCAGCTACTGAATAACTATTCTTCGATAATCAACATGAACATGTTTAAATAAGACGGCCCAGTGGTGTTCGTAAAGAAGATGGGGAGATAAGGCGGACGAAATGCCTATAGTGCGACAGATAAGAAGTTAAAAATCAAATCTCAATTGTATCAGAATTTTATTTGATATTTTATCTAATAATGAAGTTTATTTAATCTAAATCTCTACAATTTACAAAAATCTCACACAGACTGAAAATATTTGCTTATGAAAAAGCATATACACACTAAAAAGAACAAAAAAGATCATTTTCTCATAATTAAACAATTTTTTTTAATATGAGTGGGTCTTCGTTCCATTTTTTTTTTGAAAGATGATCCTAAAAGTTTGCAATAGAATATACAATTTGTGGTTTACTAAAACATTTCAAACTCAATTCACATATTGAATATGATTTCTTAATACATGTATTTGTCGCCATAGGCATTATGCCCGCCTTGTTCCCCAATTTTCTTTTGTTTTTCAACGATAAGAAACAGAAAACGGATATTTGGAACTGTAACATATCAAGGACCACAGTAAAGTACTCAAAAGTGATTTTTTATGTACAAGTTTTATGTAGTTATAAACTTAGGTTTTTAAAATTGCTAATTTTGGCATTCCTCAGGAAGCTGTTATGTTTGCTTCAGACTTCAGCAAACAAAATTGTACACAGGAAAAGTTTTCTTGTAGATTATTGTCGCTCGCTGCGATGTTGCGGCCGACATTACAACTATTGCTATATTATCTTGCAAGAACTCAAATTGTTTGCAGGAACATTGCAAGAAACATACATGCCTCTATATACAGCAGCAACAAGTTCGTTGGAAATATCAAATCTGACAAACCGAAGGTTTGCAGGAAGCTCGCATGAAAGTAAACAAGTCAAACCAGCCAATGAAATGTAGACTGTACCTAGGTCAACAAAGAATTCGCCATTTTGAAATATTTCAATTGAAGTTGTAGATATCACACAACGCCTGGCTGATAAGATATGGTTTTGTTTTATTTTTTTTTTATTATAAAAGTAATGACTATAACTTTTCAATCGTCAACTTCCCTTACTTATGCAGGAAAATACGTTCATCACATACATACAGGGTGTTTAACTCTCTGTTGATTCGATACGCAAATGCATGCTCTACGTAGGATTTCCTAAAATTTCTAGAATAAGGTAAATAGAAATTAGAAATAGAAATAGAAAAGAGAAATTCTCCCCAAAAGAGCGCAAAAAATATTGCGCCGTAAATTGCACCTTTTTTGCATTACGGGATCTGTGGCGTTATGGTCAAAGAGAAATATATAAAACCATAACAGATCTGCAGCTAGGGTAACTGTTTGCTATAAGCTTGTCAAAACTAGCGACAAACTTGCTGCAAATACAAAGGTTTTCAAAGTTTGTTATGGTTTCTTTAGCTTCGTTGCAGCAAAGGATCCTTTGCAGCAATGTTTGTAGCAAGTTTGAACTGGTCCAATGTATGTTGAAGACTTGCAGCAAATGTTTGCAGAGAGATCATATTTCGTTCTTAGATAGACAATCATCTTCTGAAATAATAAATTATATAAAGTATAAAGATGTCTGACAAGTCATATTTTTGTCAGTGATCTTGATAAGAAAAAAAACGTTTAAAAAGTTGAAATCCAGATTAAAATAAATGTGTTACCGATTGCCATTATCTGTCGTCAGTGTTTGCCACAGAAACGAACATCTGTTGTTCACGACAGCCAAAATGTCTTGACCCATCAAAATCAAACACTTGCAGAACACTTGTTAAACAACAAAGTCCATCCACATTATAAAGTTATGGTGTAGAGAGTCTAAATTAATTATATACAACAGGAAATAAGACCGCAGAGTAGTAGTTTTTATTTTTTAAGCTGAGTTTAACCAATTTTTCTTGAATAACGATTGAAATTTAACTTTATTCTGTTCTTATTTTGTTTCAATAAGAAATAATTGTTTTATATTCAACAGAAAAATAGTTTAAGGTTATATCAACACGGGAAACCACCAAACGAAAGTAAATGAATGTTATAAATAGTCAAAATTATGATATCAATTAGGTCTCTGTCATAGCGATTGATAACTTTGCCGTCTGTTGTCACAGTTGCATCGGTTGTCACAGTTGCCGGTAATAGGGTGTGTTTACCCGTGCTTCTATTCACATGAGAATGGGGATATTACCAGTGAGCAATGGTTTACAGACTTCTATCCTGGCTCGTGCAATCCACATATACATTCTACACAAACACGTGATTTATACTATTTCATTGTCAGGACCTAGCTTGAGGAATTCATTGTCCAGACCTAGCTTGAGGAATTCAATACCTAGCTTCGCCGGGGGCTTCCCCGGACCTCAAAGAAGGCCATCTATCTTCTTTACAACCACCACCACCACCACCACTCAAAAACCTGTAACACCATCTATACCAAAGCCAAGGACTCTAGGTAACTGTTTTCAAATAGTGATAAAATCCTTGTTGCATTTTCTCTACTAAATATCTTTCATTGATATTGAAGACTTCTGTAACAGCATTAGTTTCAATATTCACAGAGAAATCCCAGGTTCCTTCTTTTGGAGTTATCCTTCCTGGCCTAGCGAAACCCCTTTGCTTTGATTTACCAATGACCTCATCTACCATGTACACTATCCTAAAATTAACATCAACAGGTAGGATCACGTCAATGAAATAACAAATTGTAACCATAGTAATATAAATTATTGCATAGTAATATAAATTATTCATGAAATAAAATGCAGTTATCCTTACCAACCCTGATATTTTCTTTTAAATAAACTGTACCATGCATCCATAAGTTTAAAACATTTTCTTTTCAAACGCACATATATACATAGGTATTGATTATAAAATTTTTCTTGACGATTTTTTGTTTGTTTGTTTCTTAGTTTTTTTGGTTGTTGTATTTTTTAGTTGTCATTGCAGGCTACCGTATTGACGGTCAGTTTGGGACAGAGATAATAAATAAAATCACAGTGAAAGATGGCAGGGTAGTGAGCTTTGCTTCCGACCGGGGAGACATTTCCAAAACCCCTGTATATCAGAAGGATATCAATGACGTCACTGTAACAGCCATTAACACACCACTGGGTTTACAACTCTGGGCGGAATTCACGACTACAAAAAATAACTTGGAAGGGATCTTATGTAATTTCTTTAATATTCTTATTTCAGACAAAAAAAGTAAAGTTACGTCTTGTTAAAAACATTTAAATCGAGGCTTGCTCTTTTTAATGTATTGTTAAAATACCAACTGTTTTAGATAATTATTTTTTTTCAAGAATCAATCTTTAAATGCAGATTTATTCAGGATTTTAAATAAATGTAATATTTTTTCTCATTTCTGTTATATCCATATGTTTCATTCTAATTGCATGGAAAGTAAACCCTATAGTAATATGTTTTATTATTTATCTTTGCAGCCATCTTCAGCGACTACAGTGGTAAACTTGTTGACAAAGTGATGGAGTCAGGTGAATTTGCCGCTTATGTCGACCTGGTGCAGACAAATGGACAACAGACCTCTCTGAGAGCGATTACCAAAAAATTTGGGGACGGGGTGTGTTGGTACTTGGACAGTGAAACCATTAAGAAGTTTTACACAAATATGTCTCAATTTCAAGTCGCTGGAGTGTAAAAATGTTTGTCTCTTCCCTCTACATGTATGTTGACCAACTTCTTGTTGAACATCAATCTGTTGAATTGTAATTATGATGGATTAAACACTATTAAATTAATCCATTGCTTTATTTCTATCATTACTTTTGTGTACAAATGATTTTTTCAGACGTTTACTTCAAAAAACAGTTACTAAATATACATGTAGATTATATTTACAAATATATTTTTGTAAGCAAACATTATCTTTTAACCTAAGTATTGTATTTTGAATTTCTTGTCATGGGGAAATTGATCGTCTCTTTCCCCCAATTTTGCGATTTATTAGAATATGAATGAAATTAATTTTTCTGACTTTCTTTGCATATTTCATTGACTAAAGTCTTAAGATGTAGAGTTGAAAATGTCTGTCCAAAAAATAAATCTATTTATAACATTTTAGACAAGAAAATTTCGATATTCCACGAATTAGATTAATTTACGTAAAAATCTGCTGATGCATCATTTAGTTCTGGTTAAATTTCTAAAACTTCAAAATATGGATATTGACTTTCAATTTAAATATTATTCTTTTGAATGTCATTAACATACGACTCTGGCAGCAAACCTTGTTGAATTAAACATTTCCACGTGCAAATCGTTGAATTCTTGAAATAAAACGACTGTATTGTGCTTTGATGCATATCCTATATTTATTCACAATTCTTCTGAAGTTTTCCTAAAATTGTTGTATTTTTAATTTTCACAAAGGTTTTTGGGTTGAGCCATTAATTGATAGGTCTACCCCAGCTCCTTTGTTTATTGCTTTGTCAAATAATGTAAAACTGCTTCAACTAATAGTCAAATGCACAACTCCATTCAGAACACAACAAAAAAGGATGTTGAATCAGAAATTAAGCACATTATTTCCTTAAGGTTGCAACTTCCATAGAAATCATGCAAGTATAATTCATCAAGTATCAGTGTGAAAGTGATGTGACTTTTTTCTTTAATAATACACCAGAAAATGCATAATCAATAGACCGAATTATTTGATGCTTTTAAAGAAGGCCTTCATCAATTTCGTACTAAACTTTACTAGGTTCCCTTCATTTTTACACTTTGAAGAAGTTCAATCAAATTTTTACTTGATTTACTGCAGAATACATGTTAGTGTATGTGATTAGCATGTTGGAAGAAAATAATTCTGATTCAAGCCAGCGGTTCCTTCAGCTTTCGGTTGGCAACAAAGGAAGAGATGCTGTAAACATTAGAAACGTTCTTAATAATAGAAAAGTTCAGTCTTGCATTCCACAACATTTGGTGTTAAAGTACACAACTTGTATTTTCCAATGGATATTCTTATCTGATGATGTCACGATATGGGGCATCACGTCTAGCTATAACCTAGTATATCTCAATATTCTAAACTGGCAAATTAACGTTAATGCAATAGTATCTTGATAATTATATCGTATGCCATTCAAGGGTCTCAAATATTTATCTGTACATTTCATTCAGGGCTTTTGAGAAGGGAGAATTCTTTATTTTGCCGACTCCTTTTTCGACACAAGATTTCGACAAAACTGTTATATCCTAGAGCAGAAAAAGTCCTATCCCACAATTCAAAAATGCGTAGTTACAGTTTGTGTACTTGTAGGATTTTTCTACAACGCAGTGGTTAAATGCATTTAAGTACAATCGGTACAGGAGTGTCATAGTTCTAAGTATTAAACCCGATCTCAGTTGTTTGTATCTGTGAAGAGCAAAAAGAGTTGACAAATGGCGCCATAACGTGATTCTCATTAACCTTATCTGTAGGTGCTGAATCACATCAATCTACAAAATTATTAAGGAGGCTAATGGGTCGCTCATCAAGAGACATTTTGCAACCAGCTCAGTTACATTAACAAATCCAAATGCCATTTTCAAATTCGAGTTAAACTATAAAAAATCAATTTCCAAAGATTATTATGAAATGTTTTGAATTCTACTCTATTGTATTACTTGCCAGATGATTTGATTAAAAATACACCTTGACATCTTTTATATTTAAGTGAATGCTTAAGTATTTTGGTCAAATTATTATTTTGATTTTTTTCATGGAAGGAATTAAGGATAAAAACGCTTACAAAATATTGATTACTATAGAAGTTGATGATCTACTTTTGAAAAAGAGACCATTCCTTAAAAGAATGGCTGCAAAAATAATTTTTGTAAAAATGATCATTTTTAGTACATCAGAGTAACAAAATAATAATGAATCATTGTTATTACTAGACAGTTTACATTATAACAAAATATTCTCTCTACAAAATTCAATTTTAAATACAAAATATCAAGCAAATTACCTCCGCCAAAATTTGCTCTTTAAAATTTTTTTCAAAATTGAAAAAAGTGAATAAAAAAACCTAACCATTTTTCTAATTGCCAAGTCTTTAACTTGCAGTCCTCGATCTGAATCTTCTAATGAGTGATGGTCTTAATTCTACCTGAATCTTCTAATGAGTAATGATAACAGATCGCCCTTTTTCACATTCCTAATGACATCTTCATCACTAGCGCGTTTAGAATAGTGTGCACAACGTCACGTCATCAAGATGTTATTTCCGGCGAACGAACGAAATCACTTTTAAATCAAGTAATGGCAAGTGCTTAACTACATTATAAGTGAAAGGAACTGACGTCAAGAAGGTAAATAAAAAAATTAAGTTTATAAAACATCATGAAGATTAATTTTTTGATATTTTCATAATAATATTATTCTATTTGCAAGAAAATTATTTTGATAGGGTCTCGACACATGCTAAACGTTAATTTGTATAAAGCCCCCTTTTGAGAACTGTGGAATTTAAGATCATGCAAAGATACTTGTACTAAAAAACAGCAATATAGTCTATACGTTCAGTATGATCACAGGACCTTGCGACAATTTTTGAGAAGAAGTAGAAACTCGAATATGAGTATTTCCATCTATTATCTGTTATTATAATAGCCTTGAATTAGATACTGACCGATAGAACATGGAAAAGTCATCACATGAAACATTCATATTCTAAAATTAATGTTACTGCACCAAAAATTATCGCCGATAGTACTCATTAGTAAATTGATTTATTACTTTCATTAAGATAAGAGTTTGTACGGTGAAGGAGTATTGACTTCATTTTAATAGTTGCCAAATAGGTATACACATATGTATAAAGACTTGCCATCTATCCCAAAATTGAATTAAATGAATGTGTTTTGGTATACAACACGTTTCATAAATTATCTGAGAATATACCAACAGTGACGGCCAAAGTACCTAACATGAAGAACAGACGAGTGAGTACGGTCTTTATAGTATTTGTCGTTTCAGACCGAATATTATGTGTCTGATACTTTTTAGGATAACGACTTAAAGTTCACATGAATATTTTATGAGCACACTTGTACTAACTAGCATTTATTAAATGGCTTTATTTTGATTAAGTAAATATGCAATAATATGATTATTTGTGATGATTCTATTTCAAATTTAGAACTCAAACTTCTCAGAAATTTTAAATAAACTTCAGCGCTGAATACAACAGTCTGCATAGTTTTTTATGCCCCCGTAATCGAAGATTCGGGGATGTATATTTTGTTCCTGTCCATCCATCTGTCTAGCTGTCTGTTTCTTCTTTTCAGCAAAAGCTTTAACCTCGCCCATAACCTCTGACAGGGTGGGGCTATGGTTTTTACATTTCATATGTGTTTTTCTTGTGACAAGACCTTTCTTTTGGTACCATCAAAATTTGACCTTTTGAGTTTGGAGTTTGACACACTTTTTATATTTTATAATTAACCATTTATTTTTTTTTTAAATTGAGCGTTTCCGCCTCTGTCAAAATCTCTTTATATTAAAATTTCCTTGTGTATTCACTTTAATTCAGACTTGGTTAGCTCTTGCGGAAATAAAACTTCACTAAGCAAACACTATCTTAACAATAGTGTTATTAATATTAAAAGTCGGTTTTGCGTTTACATAATATTACAGCAAGGGATACTCTTTTAGTCAGGGATAACTGTCAAGTAGTAGAGAAAGCCTCATGGATGTAATTTTATCATGAGAGAGAGAGAATATGAGATTAAACTTGTTCTTAATGGGAAGGAGAAAAAATCTTTGATAACTTGAAACATTAGGGTAAAATACTTATATATTAAGTTGTTTGGATTTCAAAATTACTTCGACATATCAAGGTTTTTGTGATTTTGGCGTCCAAGTTAAACTGTAAAGCTTTCTCTCTCTCCAGATTACAATTAAAAAATATTTAATATTACAAATTCAATCAGAACTCTTCCATTATGCTTTAAGCATTGCTTAAGTTACAAGAAATTATTAATACTTAATGTATCAATCATGCTCAGTAATCTCTAATGTATTATAATCTAAATAGTACTGTTATCGATCGTGAAATCACTAATTTTCGTCGTTTTCGAGGTATGGAGAGACCTACGAAATTTATGACCACCACAAAAAAGTAAAAATTTCATTTCAATTACTACTAAACATTTTTCAACCATGAAATCGAATCCCCTTAAACCAATATTTTTTTCCTAACCTCGAAAATTTGACCCTACGAAAATATTTTATTTTACACTATTTTATTTTTAAACGAAGAAAGGGTCGTAAAGGCACAGGATACAAATTTTACTAAAACAAACTTGACTTTGAAGTGATCAAGGTTATAAGCTTTTCATATCGGATACAGTTTATTAGTTCCTTAGATGTTTTCAAATGAACACTTCTTTATTTCTAAGTAAACTAGACTGCTCTTTTTAGAGAGCGGATTGAAGTAAGTATAATAGTTGATTGAGCTAAAGAAGTAAAAAGGAAGTTAACACTTTCAGACGTGTGAAATCCCCCTTTATTTTGATAATATGTTCACATTTTTATATAAAGGAAGATATAAGATCAGTATTATATTCATTGCATTTTATTAATTCTATTGATTTCACAAAACATGTTGGCATAATATCATATGAAATATTCTAAAAGAATCAAAGGAAAAATGAAATATAGATTAATTAAACTACTGGTGTACTATGATAAAAGGTAAATCTATGGTGCATCGAGAAATATGAAATGAAAATCTGTATCTTTTGGTTACTATAATGTTAAATACACTTCAAAATTATATACAATGCTCTTCATTTCAAACATTTAAAAAAATTGAAACACATGTACATGTATATATACATCACATTGTTACACATGAACAAGTTTACGTTTTTCCATTTGTCTGTTCACCTGTTTGGACAAAATATCTTTTAACCTTGTCCATAACTTTTGAGGGATCCATGGCTTCAGTATTTCACATGTGTATTCCTTGTAACAAGGTCTTTCTTCGGGTATGAATATATTTTACCTGCTTTTGCAGAAAATTATCAAATTTTAAATAAAACTAGTCATAACTATTGTAAAATAAAGTTTGACCGCATAAAAAAATAACCTTGGTCTTTATTTTTGAACAATTAGCGATACTATTAGGGCCTAAACATTTTGCCTAGTCACAAATTCTTTTGAGAATATCTTCTTTTGGATATTAAAAGTTTTGACTTTCATCTTGGGTTTGGCTTCAATTAAAAAAAAAAATCTTGGCTATAACTTTTAAACATTTGGTGCTAGGATTTTTATATTTATCTTATGACAAGAACTTTCCCTAGGTATAATTCATTTTGATCCTTTGACCTTAAAGTTTGACACTAATTTTATAAACTAAAACTTTGACGTAACTTTTGAATGGTTGATTCTTCACATTAATGCTTATTGATACAACTCCTTTCTTTCGAAAATAACACTTTTGACCTTCGAGTTTAAATTGCATTTTAGAAACTTTAACCTCCGCAATTATCTGGGGCTTCAGTGTTTTACAAACACATTCTGTTTGTTTTCTTATTATTAAGGCTGTATGCACGAGTCATTCTTGTTTGAGTTTTTACTTTCATCCTACAGGAAAACTAGGAAAAACGCACACTGAAGTTACATAATATTGTGATAAAAGAGCACATTTTGGTGGAGGTTACAGCGATAGCCTATTTATAATAAAACGGAATTTCCTCCCGTTTCCATTTGCTATGTAATTAGATGTTTTGATTCTTGAAGTGTATGCGAGGGAAAATAATCACGCCGATGTTTTTTTGAAATATCTTAATGTTATACCGATGAGTTTTTTTGCAATACTACGTCTGGGAAGAGAGAAGGGTGTGGGTAAGAAGTTTGCTGTTTCCTTCATTTAAGATATACTTTTTGTCGATTTGTTATGAAGACACAAACTTGATGTTTAGATAAATTATATATAAACACATGGGTTAACTCTTCTCTCCGAAGTTGGGGAGCTGAAATAATAATAATAATGACCCTACCGCGGTACGTACGTTGGTGATCTGCCATTTAATATCGATATAATGCAATGTGAGCCTCTTATTATCGTTGATGGCATTTAATGAGCAATTAATACCGAATACTGGGGTTTGCAAATTGTTCAGAATAAAAATAGACCATTCATCAAAATCCGCTGTTGTTGGTCATCATCTGTTTCAAGCAGATTTTTTTCTTCTCAAAAATGTCCCATTTAATTCTTTGTAGATCTGGGAAGACTAAATTGTCAAAGGAATACATGTTCCAGCAATCCGATTTTGTAAAATCCAAGGCCTTGATACTGTAAGTATTATCATTTTTATTTGCAGAAAATAAATTCTTGGTTGTTTTCCAACCAGCAGAGATCTCATTTGACGACAGGGTGCTTAAAGGTATTTTTATCATTTCTGAAGCTTTAGTAAACATTCATTTATGTATATTTTCTGGTTTATAATCATTCTTTGATAACGGTAAAAGTATGTGAAAATGCATAATTGATACTTATCTATCTTTTTCCCACAGGTGCTTTGTATAGACTAAGAAGGCAATATTTATCAACATCCACGTGCGTCAAATTATAACACACGAGAAGTTGTTTCGTTTTATTCTCTCCTTCCTCAAGTGTAGTGCTGCATTTCTAAAAATTTAAGTGTCTTCAAATGACTGAATTAGTTTTCCACGGAGTTTTTTTTAATGAAACTCAAATGAATAGATCGTAAACATGTGATAGGAAATGCACTATCAGGAAACGAAAGTGGGGACTCATCAAACGGGAAAATTTTTGACAAAAATGTCAAATGGCGGCATGGACTTGAACACAAACCTTACTGACAAAGATGTTGTGGAAGAAATAACTGACTGGGAGACTCTTCTGAATTATAAAAACGACGAAAATGCTCTCCTCTTATTACCAGTGATATGTTTTGTTTTCCTTTTAATTATTCTTGGAGGAATAGGAAATAGTATTGTGTTTTACGTTTACAAAACTAAAAGTAAATCAACAACGAAGGGAGTTTTTATTTCCGTCTTGGCCGTATTCGATCTCATGAATTGTTTAATTGTAATGCCTTTTGAAATTTACGACCTCAGAAATCAGTACAGATTCACATCCGGAGATTTCTGCAAGTCTATGAGATTTGTGGAGTTTTCAATTGTTCTTGCTGCCGGGTTCACTCTTGTTGCCGTGGCGATAGACAGGTATATGAACCTTTGTGTCAGAACTTCCCGAATTTTATTCACCCCTAGCCGTGCCAAGAGAGCTTGCTGTATTTGTGTAGGACTAAGCATAGTATTTTCTTGGCCTGTAGTGATGTTCGCGGGACTCGAACCTTCACCCGTTCGAGTGGACAATGTAACGATCAATGGTTTTGAATGTTCAAGTTTTAGTGACGAATCAATCAATGCTCGTATTTATCTTTACATTCTCAACATCGTCTTCATACTTTCTCTTGTGTTAATGATAATCTTGTATTCTATGATAGGAATGAAGTTATATCACAGGAGGAGAGGATCATTTCACGATGGATTAATATTCATGAAGGACACAACCGATTCAGGAAAATTTCAAAACAACCATTCAGACATGAACATTGAGCGTTGCGGATATGCCATTGGAAAAAGAGGTATTCGAATGAAGGGCTCGACACTCATTTTTTACTCTGTGACCATTGTGTTTATTATTGGTTTTCTCCCTCATCTGATCACGAGGGTGCTGAAAATTACTCACACGGCCTTTATAGAGGTCAACAAAGGAAACTCGACAGAGGTCGCGTATAATTTTCTGATAAGGTCTTATATGATCAACTCTGCAGCTAACCCCTTTATTTACAGTATTATCCACGAACGATTTAGACAGGAAATTGTCCGAACCTGCCGGAAGTGTGTGAGATTATTTAGAAGGAATTGAAAGCTTTCTGAGGGTTTTCTATTTTAAGATTTTTAGTTAAAAGGAGAAAAAATCCATGTTTAAATGAACACTTTTACTGAGAAGGGATATTATTTTAAACATGTATTGTAGTATCTTTTTAAGTAAAACCATATTAGATTTTTTTATACGTTAAATAAATTTATGAGTAAAACGATGTGTATGGCTACATCTAAAATCGTTAAAATTGGATTAAATTTTATCTTTTTTATTTTTCGACCTATTCACATGATTCAGTCGACTCAAAACCAAATTGATAATGTTATCTTTAAATGAATTAAGAAGTGAAATACAATTATCATCAGCGTATGCACTGAAGTTTACAGATTTCTTGGACAAATTATGTACTTAATTACGAAGGGAGTCTGCAGAGAAAATTACTTACATCTGCTCATATTGTTTTTATCACATGGAGGTGAATGTTAAAAGATCCTTGCAGACGGATAATATGCATGTTCAAATGAATTACAAGTTGAACGAAGAAGCATGCGTTACATTTATTCGACAACAGCTGTGGTGTTGTAAAATAATCTTTAGAATGAGCATTTTATTGTCAAGTTAAGGTAGTTTTTTGTGATGAAATAAAAGTGGACGTAAAAGATTTAATTTATGCAAAAATTAAAGTAACAAATTAGTTTTATTATATATACATTAAAGTATAAATAAACGCGTAAAAAGAAACAAGTCTTTGTATTTTGTTTTCAAATTTTGTAAAATTATAACCACACTCCCTCATACCTGCAAATACAAAATTTGAGGTATACATAGGTCTCTATATGTAACTATAACTATAAATATTGCAATGGAGAATCATTAAAACGTTGCTGCAGAGAATTTCTAATAAAACCTAAAGGTGTGTCATGACCTTGATCTATTGACATTTCAGTAAGTTTAGGGTAAAGGCAAAACAAAGTATGATAAAACACTTTTGTCCAGACAATAAAGAGTTGAACAGAAAGTTTAAACTTATTATAGTGATTGTTTATAATATGGTTATATCTCATCAAACTAACAGTGGCAAAAGATCAGTAGTATAAACATGGAAAGTCAATTATAGATCTATGGTTTTAAAAGGAGAGTTACACTGGAAGTCTATATATCCATTAAACATTGCCTAGCTAGGATCAGATACTAACCAAAGTCGTTTTAATAGCAAGTTAAATGTCCCATTAACGAACTGGGAATGACAATTTTAATAAAAAATCATTTTGGGTTACCATTTTGTTAAGTAAAACACAATACCCTTTGTATACCAAATTATAGTCTTAACAAGATCTTCAGTTGTATTGCATTTTATATGATTGAAAGAAACTAGAATACAAATAGTTTGAATTGATTATCTCAAATTCATCAATTGGCTTGATTCCTTAGATCATTTTATCGCATATCCTAGTTTGAGAGATAAAGGAAACCTGCAAACAGTATTTTAAATGCAATTTTCTTTAAATTTTTGAAGATTTTTTTTTATTTATTATTTACATGTCACATTCCTCTGCGTAAACTTTAAACGGTCTCTTTTGAAATGAATATAAGTAGCTATTGAACCCCTACATAAGGAGATTACAATAATACCAAAAAGCAGACAAAGGGCTTAGTTTCTTTACCTCGCCTCAGACACATCATCTGTGCTTATCAAAAGAATTAAATGAAGACTCTATACCTGTACGGTTAGCAGCCATTGTATGATCTGTTTGCTACAAAGATGGAGAAGGAATATCAATTCAGTACATGTGCCCCTCCTTGCACATCCATCACCCATCCCCCGGGGGCATATGCTTCTAATATTTGAGAATTATTGATGGACAACTGTTTGACCAGATAAAAGTTTCAATATGTGTAAAATTATTAACATTTTCAATTAAGGAATAACTGTCTTATTTTTTGATTTTATTTTTAAGATGTGATCAATTTTTTCCTGTTTAGGTTTGATTCTAATTTATTTGGTAAATTAATAAGAGCACATTCTCTGTTTTTCAAACTAAAATTATCACGCCAACCCACATGGTTACAAGCAGTGTAGATCCTGCTTCTGTCTCTCTATTTGTATGGCCTTTAATTGATTTTTTTTAAAGACTATTATAATGATTTACTATGGTAAATAAAAGTTTTCATTTAAGTAAAACAATGGATTTTCAAATAGATACAAGTATATTATATATTATGATATTCAAAAGAACCATAATCATAACTTTTTGCAAATGCAATTTCAAAAGAAGCAATCAAATTTCATTGTTTATTCTAATGTTGTAATTTTATCTTGGACAAAAATTACCATATTGAAATTTAAAATTTTTTAATTTCAATGACCATAAAAACTTAACAAATGATATACAATGCATACCTTTTGAATTAAATATACTTAAAGCACAAGCACAATGAATACAAAAAATCCTTTGAGTACAGTTCTAAAAACACTAAGCGAAAAAAACTTATCAAACGTGCAAGTGTTTTTTTCATCCGATCTTCTACTTTTTTTTCCCCGCAGTATCACCTGTCAAAAAGCGACAAATTTTTTAAATGCGAAAACCACTGTAAAGGATTTATGAATTTTTTTTTTTTTTTAGTTTGAAAACTAATTTGCATGCAAGATAAATAAAAGATATGCTTTTTTTCGATTCTCTTGGCCACATCATGTTTATATTGCTCTACAATTAACATGGACATAGACTCTACTTTGTTGAATTTTTCCTCTTTTTTGTTATTTTATCCTTAAAATTTCAACAAAAAAAAAGAAAAGAAAAGAAAAGAATTTACATAAAATGAAAATAAAAATAAAATTTTATTCTCCTGAATGCCGTTTCCTCATTTTTTTATTTTGTTGTTGTTACATAATTTGGTTTTCTCCATTTCTTTAAATATTACAAGTATAACATTTTTTGCATGACCATTTAATTTTAAGAAAAAGGAAAAAACAGGGGGGGTATGTACATATATATATTAGTTCTATTGTTAAAAACTACACACATTATTTTCGAAAAGTTTTCATTTAATTTCCTTTTTGTTTTTGCTTGTCAAGTTTTTAAAAAGTTTTTTTCTCTGGTTTCTGGCTTCAGTAAAACAAAGGATTTTACATATTATTGAATTTTTAAAAAGGAAATATGCATATATTTTACATTTTCAAATAGAAAAAACAAAAACGTATATTATATATTTACCGATTTGTTATTTTTTTCGCTTGTCGTAATTTATGACGTTTGTACCATTGTTGGTTTTGCATTCATACATGTTTGTTACTTTTTGGTTTTGCTTTAATGTATATTTGTTGTGCGAAAACATCTGTTGATTTTGCATTGTATATTAAATTTTTATGGTCATTGAAATTTTTTTTTTTCTCATTATGGTAATTTTTGCCCTTTCCGCTGCCCATAGTAGTTCAAACGATAAATTGAAGTGATAGAATTTGAATTTTTCTGTATAATGCAATAGCTCACAGCTAGTGCGTCATTCTGAAATTTAAGACAAAGAAAATTTCAGAATCTGAGAGCTCAAAAACATGACTCTCAAAGCATATGTGAGCTACAATTTTCAGTGATTTTGATATTTATTATCACATTGACATGAAAATGATAATAACAGGATGTTTTATGGGACATTGATGCCCCCGTATGACAGCTTATGACATTGATGCCCCCGTATGACAGCTTATGACAAGAGTTGAAGTTTCCCAAATGCAAGTCTAACTCCAGGGATAAAAACAGATGTTCTTACCCAAACAAAGGACTCGTGTCAATGAAAATATTAATAATTTCAGTTTAGTGTGAAGTTTTGCATTACGCCACGATCTTTTTCGACTGATGCATCCAGAGTAAACAATTCAGCCGCTGCTGTGTGATTGGTCAACTCATATTATCAACATTGACACGGAAATAATCTGTTGCACGAGCAACCAATCAGGGAATAAAAGAAACTTCCAGTCGTAAAGCTTACGGTCAGGAGGCGTGTACTTTTTACCTTGAGCGCATTAGTCATCATAGGTTGTGACGTAATGCAAAACTTCACACTTAACTAAAATTACTAATAAATGGGATTAATAGAACCCTTTCAAAATTTAAACCTAAGATTACTTTTTTATAGTGGTACAAACTCCAAGGTCAAATGGTAAAATGAAAGGTTACCAGGGGATCGAACTTGTAATAAAAAAGTGAAATATCAAGGTAAATGTTGACGTTTTCAAAAGTAGTTCGAGATCAAAAAGACAAAAGTGTCTCTAGATTTTTTTCGCACAAAGAATACACATGTGAATCCGAAAGTGGATGAATCTTTAAGATCAAAATGTAAAAAAAATGTATACATCAAAACATCTTTGTCACAAGAAATACTTCTTTGAAGTTTGGAAGCCCTGGTAAAACTGATCAAAAGTAATGACCAAGGTAAACGTTTTGATTTTTGCAAAGGTGAGTCAAACTCTAAGGTAAAAAAAAAATCAAATTTGTATGAGCCCGAATAAAGATCATGTCACAAAAATACACCTGTGAAATATGAAAGCTATGACCCCATCTATTCAAAAGTTAAAGGCAAGGTTAAATTTTGGCGGACAATCGGACAGACGCATACACGACCAGACCAAAAAGTAAATACCCCCTAATCTTCGATTTCAAGGGTTCAATAATGATAAACCAAACTTAAGTTTAAATTTCATAAATTGCAGTAAGAAGTGAATCAGAAGATACAGTCATACTCACAAAAATGTTTCCCCAAAACTGCACTATTGATAAGGAATTTTTATGGGCTTGAAATGATTTAGATTAAAACTCTCAAAGCAAATGCATATAATACTTTTTATACCATTTACATATATGCTTGATAAGAATTTTTCATACTTCTTTAAATTGTTGCTGCATTTCTTGCCGGTTATCTTTATAAAAAAAAGTTTCATAAAGTAAATTCTATCAAATGCGTGATGCAAAGAGAATATATTGAAAACATTGAAGTTCTGTGTGTTTACTTGAAAAGAATATAAAATTTTAGGCTAGCTAGTTTTGAATTTTTGAGAATCTGGAATTGTTAATTTTTATGACAAACCCTAGCTCCACCCATTTTTTCTGAATGAAATATAGTCAGAAGCTTTGAATATAATGCTGATATATTTAAATTGTACGT